TTGGGTTTCTTGGTAGCTTTGTTGGGTGGCTTGAAGGTGGCTGGGCCCCAGCTTGCTGCTCACCTCCCCCTCTCGTCCTCTCACCCCGCCCCCAGTGAATAAGTTCCAGACGGACCTGGAGAGGAAGTGCTGTGAGACGGGTCTCCGGGAGAATCCTGTGGGGCTGACGTGTGATGAGAGGATCCAGCATGTCCGCCAAGGCCCAGCCTGCGTGGCCGCATTCCTGAGCTGCTGCCGTCTGTCCGAGACCCTGACCCGGGAGGCCAGGGAGGAGCAGCTGCTTCTGGGGACAAGTGAGGTCTCCCCCCACCCCACCCCCAAGGAAACATGGAGTGGGGGGGATTCTGCAGAAGGGCTGTGCAGAGTGCCACAGGGCCAGTTCAGGGTGGTGAGAGCCATGGCGGATGGAGTGGAGGGACCCCACTGAGAGGCGGAGGGTCAGGAAGAGACTACCAGAGAGGTCGTGGGGACCTCCATCTCCACCTCTCCCCAGTGGATGAAGATGAGGACCTGGATGACATCTTTGAGGATGACGCGCCCATCCGGACTTTATTCCCAGAGAGCTGGCTCTGGAGAAAGTTTTCTCTGCCGAAAAGAGACTCCGGGTAGGACCACGGCCCCATGCCAGCTCCTGGCCCCTGGCCTTCGTACCTCACTCACATCTAGAGGTGTTGGCATTTGAGCTCTCAGGATAGTTGCAAAAGAAAGGTCCCCTGGGTCCCCCAACGTCTCCCCTAAAAGGACGGTGTTCCTAATGAGGTCGAAAGATGGGACCACAACCCCCCCGATCGTGCCTGTGTGTAGTATTAAATAAAAAGTGGCGCGGAGGGAGGTGGAGGGCCAGCCCCCACTGCTAATACTCCTATTGCTACTACTCCGATTCAGTAATACTACTTCTGGGTTCAGTAATGCACAATTGTACGGTTGAGATATATATGTATTATATTAGAGTCATCGAGAGCATGAGAGATATTACAATAATACAGTCAGGCAAAAAAATAATAATAATAATAATAATAATAATAATAATACAGTCAGGCATGTTACATGGTACCATTGCTCACCTCAGCCCAGCTTGGTGGTCCACGTGGAGAGAGGGGGACGGGAAGGAGGGAAAGGGAACAAGGGAGAGGGGGAAGAGAGTCAGGGAGATCAGAGTCCGAGAAGTCCGAGTCCGAGAGCTCTCTATAGCTGATCCATGCCTATACTGTATACCTTTTGGGGACATGCCAGCCCACTAATTACATGTAGAGACATACATCACAGGGAGGAGCTGCACTATAGGTTACACAGCAATGAGAGGGTGGTCTAGGGGGTGGTCTCTGGGTCTCCATAGGAACCATTATCAGTAGGGTGCAAACCCCTCCTACAGGAGCCAAGCTAATGGCCCCAAGCTTCAGAGAGAAATAGTCCATTGTCTCCAGCAGCAGGGAGCAGGCCCAGTGCAGTTTGGCAACTGATCGGCCCTCAGGGGGGGGAATGCCTGTGCATCTGACCTCCCCCCACACCTGTGGCTCTGCCCAAGCAGCACACACTCAGGGATGCCCTTGGCCTTTCCAGCAGCCTCTCCTACGAGATCATCAACACCAACATGCCGGATTCCATCACCACGTGGCAGTTTGTGGCCGTGAGCCTCAAAGCAAACCAAGGTGATGGCCTCAAGCCCGGTGGCCCCGCCTAGCCTGGGCTGGGTGGCCTCTGCTTAACCCCAGTGTGTCCACCTGGCTCCAGGACTGTGTATCTCAGACCCTTTTGAGCTGACCGTGATGAAGCTGTTCTTCGTGGACCTTAAGCTGCCCCCGTCCGTGATCAGGAATGAGCAGATCCAGGTCCAGGCTGTGCTGTACAATTTCAGGGACCGGCAGGCCAAGGTGAGCCCACGCCTCCCCCTCACGGGGCATCTGACCCACCCGAGCTGCCAGCGTGTCTCATAAAGGGGAGGAGTGTTCCAACAGGTCTGTGAAGTGAGGATCCTTTTGAAAAACTTAAGGTCTTTCCTCATTCAAATTTCCCCAAAATTCCAGCGGATGGATCCTCATATGGTCATTGGTTTAGAGATGAGGAAACAGAGGCACAGAGAGGTTAAAAGGCTTATCTGGGGGCACACAGTACTCAAGGTGCCGAGAAGGGGGTTGAAGCTGGGTGGTCTGACACCAGGGACTCTTCTCTCAACCATTGCTATGCAGTCACTACTCAGGCTCCTTGGGGTAGGGGTGAGGAGGGGGCTGTGACTCTGGGGTCCTGGGGCCCCCCACACACACAACAGGGCCTTGAACTGCCCCTCCCACTTCAGGTCCGGGTGGAGCTCCCCCACAGGGAGCCCCTGTGCAGCGCGTCAAAGCCAGGAGCCCCGTCCCGCCAGGTGGTGGTCGTGCCCCCTGCCTCGTCCAAGGTGGTGCACTTTGTACTTCTGCCTCTTGAGATGGGCAGAGTCGATGTGGAGGTCAAGGTCGTGGGCAATGGAATCCAGGACCATGTGAAGAAGACCCTCTTGGTCAAGGTAATGGGCAATCCAGACCCCTGGGTCCTCGGAGCCCTGGGCTGGGTGGGTGGAGGAGGTCACGCAAGCTGGTCCCCCAAGCTTCCAGAGTGGAGTGAGGTTCTAACGGCCTGGTTTTGACAGTTCTGTCGGGGGACCGGGTCAAGAGATCACAGAGTTCCCACCTGGAGGTTTGGGAGCTCAAACTCTGTCCCTGCTGTGTGACCTGAACAGCTTATGTCACTCTGCTGAGCCCTGGTGTGCAGTTGCGGTGAGGGGTCTTTGCATCGTCTCTGACTCTTAGCCGCCCTGTGTCCGTCAGAACGAAGCACCGCCTGCTCCCGCGCCATCCTTGCAGTGGCTCCATGTCTCCGCCCATTGCTGCAGCCGCGGGTCGACGTCAGCTCATCGAGGGTCCTTTTCTCTTTGATGGCCCTCCGCTTAACCTTGATCTACTTTCCCGGGCTGGTCCCTCCCGATCACACATCCAAGTACATCCCATGCCCTCTCGCCAGCCTTGCTTCCAAGGCGCATTCTGCCCATTTGTCCTCAAAGACCGATATGTGTGTTCTTCTGGAAGTCCGTGGGACTCTCGATAGTTTTTGCCAACCCCGTCACTGGAGATCAACGACTTCAGTAGAGTTTGCCACTCAATGTAAAGAAAATCCAAGTCCTCACCACTGGACCAATAGGAACAGGATTTTTTTTAAAAAATCATTTTATTAGGGGTTCCTACAACTCCATCACAATCCATCCATACATCCATTGTGCATTTGTACCTTCGTTGCCCTCATCATTCTCAAAACATTTGCTCTCCACGTAAGCCCCTGGCATCAGCTCCTCATTTAGAAACATCATTTTTTTTAAAAACGAGGAAAGATTGTTGTCAAGTCTCTCAATTCACTTGGATCTACAGTCGACACCCTCAGAGGCAGCAGTCAGGAAATCAAGCGCCGGATTACATTGGGCAAATCTGCTGCCAAAGACCTCTCTAAAGCAAAGCTATCCCCTTGGGGGCTAAGGGAGGCCTGACCCAAGCCGCGGTCTTTTCCATGCCCTCGTGTGCTTGCCAAACTGGACCATGCCGAAGGAAGACCAGGGGATATGCCCTGGAGCTCGGGTATTGTCTGAGCGTCGTAACGATCCCATGGGCTTCCAGCAGGATGAACAGGTCCATGTCGGGAGAAGGGTCCAAATGCCCCTTCAAAGAGGGCGTGGCACGATTTCCTCTCAGGTGCTTTGAGCCCATGGTCAGGAGAGCCGATCCCTGGAGAGAGACCCCAGGCTGGGTAAAGCAGCGGGCGGCCAATAGGAGGAAGCCGCTCCGTGAGATGGATTGATGTCGTGACTGCCGCGTGGGCTCAGGCATAGCCACGGTGGCAAAGATGGCACAGGGCATGGCAGTGATTCACTCTGTTGTCCATGGGGTCCCTGTGAGCCACACGGGACAGCGCCCACCACCGCAATCACCTCTGTGGAAACTGACGGCCACAGCTGCCTACCATGGGGCGGCTAGTGGGCTCGAACCCTGAGCCATTCGGTTCACCACCGAGTGGCTTAACCCCTGTGGCACCTTCAGAGGCACAGGGAGATCAAGTCAGCTGTAACCCAGCTAGGAAGCAGGAGTGCGAGAGTCAAACTGAGACAGAGTCTGTGTCTAGACTAGGCACAGAGCTAGGCGGTGCTGGTTCTTACGGCCATTGCCGTTGTTGTCCCTGTTGCTGCTACCGTCTCTTGTCATCCCGTAGGCAGGGGGTCAGGTAGAGCGAATGTTCCAAAGCATCCTTCTGAACCCCCAAGGTAGGTGGGGGTCTTCCGCATGGGGCGCATGGGTCACCGGGCCATGTGAAGGAGGAGGGTGGGCAGTCCAGCCGGCTCGGGACCCCCTGACCTCCCCAGCCCCAGAGCCTGCTTGTCACAGGAGGTTGTGCCTGCTCAGGTCAGACGCAGACGGAATTGGTGTCAAGAAAGGACATTTTGAACAAGGTGCCCGACACGCAGGCAGAAGTGTTCGTCAGCGTCCAAGGTGCCCAGGAGGGAGCTGGTCTTGGGAGATTTGGGAGGTGGAAGGGCAGGCATGGGGCTAGCTACTCTAGAGCCCACCTGGGCTCTGGAGCAGCAGGGGCTGCAGGCGGGCCTGTGGGATAACCTAGGGGGCCATGATGGATAGGCCATTCCTAAAGTGACCCTACCTGCCCACCAAACAGGCGACATCCTTGGTGAGACCATCCTGGGCAGCCTGACACCCTCAGAGATGCAGAGGCTGCTGAGCGTCCCAACGGGCTGCCCCGAGCAGACTCTGAGCTCCCTGGCCCCTCTGATCATCCTGACTGACTACCTGGACACCACAGGCCAGTGGGGCAACGTCGGGGTGGAGCTCAGAGACAAGGTGACGAAGAACGTGGTCAGCGGTGAGAGTACACGTATTGGGTGGGTTGGGGGTTCAAAGTCCCCTCTTGGGAAGGGACCTAGGGCTCTCTCAGGACTCAGGGTGGGTGGGAGGGTATATTCAGGGTTGGAGGAGGCCCTTAGGAGACCCCAAAACAATTACATCAAACTCTGACTCCTCTCCCAGATTATGTAGCTTGACGTTAACCCTAAGGGATCCCTAGACAGTAATATATCCCCAGGCTATACCTGGCAGTTGCCCCTAGGTTACTCCTTAACCCTACACCTCTTCCAGACTGCACCATGATACCAACTCCCACTTACCCCCAACAGTGATCCCAGGTTACTCCTGCTCCATGACCCCTCTCCCAGACCACCCCCAGACAACAGACTCCCTGGTTTATCCCAAGAAACATCATATCCATACACTGTCTCAGTCACACACTCCCGGGGTTACACCTAGATTGTATGACCCCCCAAGTACCCCTGGGGACACACAAGCAGAGATCCTTCCAATCATCCTCGTGACATGTAACACTGACACTTCACGCTTCGACCAAACCCTCAGGTCACGACCAGATGTAGACGCTTCTGATGACCCCCAGTTCATGGGGCCTCTCTTCCCAGTGTCACTCAGACACCCCCCCTCCATCCAGGTTCTCCCAAACGCTAGCTTCCCAAGTGACATGGAGACCCCGTGATCCCCAGGGTTACCCCCAGATGGTAACCTTCTCGGGAACCCTCAGAGAATCCTCCTGCAACCCCCCTCAGAAGGTGCTCCAGCAGACCATCTGCCCTGCAGAGCAGAGTGGATCAAACAGGCCAGCAAAGGCCCACGCACAGACACCGTGGCGCTGCTGTTCCGATCCATAGCCACCCTACGATGTGGATCTAAGCCAGTGGACACCCGGATACCCCAAGTTTATATAAAAAAACAGCCCTCACATGGTGGTGGCCCCTCAGGTGACACCCTCTCTCAAGTTACACCTGGACAACACCTTCCAGGAGGACTCCGGGCAGCAGCTTCCCGGGCCACAGCCAGAGAGCAGCCCACCCCTCGGCGTGGTGGTTTGCCAGGGCGCCCCCAGACAACAACCCCTGGAGAAATGCACTCCTCCGCCAAGACACAGCTGCACACTGCGTCCCCCCGTGATCACACCAAGCATGGCCCCCTCATGTACACCGTGGCCCGGAAGCCTTGATATACCCTGAGCCAATCCCTGCCCCCCACCCCATGTTCTATCTCAACGTGATGCAACCCCAAATCTCACCCAGACGCTGCCTTTCAGGCTGTTCCAGAGAGCTGGACACACCCCCTCCATCGCAAATCACAACTGGACACCAACACTCCCTGCAAGTCCTCCTCCGCCTCTTTCCCTAGGTTACACCCGGATGCTGACTCACAGGAGCGCAGATGGCACCTACCACATCCACAAGGGAAACCCAGGAAGTACCTGGTGAGCCTCCCACCATGGTGCTGCCACCACCTCCCCAGACACCAAGGGGCCAGTCTGG